AACCAGAATGGTTGCCCCATGCAACAGCCTTATAAAACAGGAGAGGAAATATAAATACATGTTTAATTGCCCACTGCACTTAAACTGCTTTATCCTGCATGACCTCATTATTTCTAGAAAATTTGGCTCAGGCCATATAGTGGGAGGTGAAGTGGGAAATCTCCCACTGCAGGAGCAGCCTGCCAGGGGGGTTATTACACTCCACAGGTCAGAGTACCCTTGTGTGCACAAAGCCCACCTTGGAGGTGAATTGGAGCCCCAACCCTGGCCCCCACAGGGCCCTCACAGCCAGGGGGGCAGTTGGGGCTGCACTGCTGGGAGGATTCTTCAGTGTCACCTTCGACCCTCCCCAACCTTTCCTGGGTGGTGGGCAGCTCAGCTGGTTGGGCAGAGCAATTTCCTTCGCCTGATTTTGAAGTTTAAAGCCACCATAAGCCGTTGCAGCATGTTTATAGCATCCAGCATTTTCCCATCTGGCCCTCCTCAAGCTGCTCATCCCGTTCAGAACACAGAAAGAATGACAAGGAAAATGCAGTGGGAGCACACGAAATGGCAAACCTGTCTGGGGCCCTGAGTGGCAGCAAACGGCACGAGGGAAAGTTGTGTTTAGACCCAGAGACATGCAGTGAGGTTAATTGCTCTGCCCAGTTTTAGTCCATCCTGCTCTAGAGAGGGAATTCACTTCCTTGGGTGTGGGGAAACAAAGCAGGTTGGTCTGTGGGAAAGAAAAGCCTGTTCCTTTAATCTGTCTGAAAGCTTTTGGGACATCAAAGTCCTGGCAAGAAGAGATGTCGCTGATATAATTGGTGTGGGCAATTGCAAAGGTTTTGATAAAGACCTCTGTGAAAGAGTTATTCATGGGAGGCAAAGAAGGGTCATGGGCTGGGCAGGAGCTAAGAAACAAAAGCCCCCAAAGCAGGATGAGGGCTGTGGAAATGTCCCACAGCTCTGTATCCCACCCAGTGCCCTCCAACAGCAAAGCCTGTCTGGAGGTGATGAGGAATTGCCAGGGGCACCATCAAAACCAGGAGAAGAGGCCAGAGTGGGGAAAGATCATCCCCCTGCTCATGGACACAGCCTGGGTAAGGCTCCTTGGGAGGAAGGGGATGATGGTTGTGAAAACCAAAGAGTCCAGATCAGCTGCCACCTCTCAAAGAGAAAACCCAGCTCAGGTCATGGGCAGCTCACCACAGTGCTCCACTGGGGGTTGCAAATACATAATATTATCCCAAAAACTCCTCAAGAAATGAAGATATTGGATAAAGATCAGGGGAGAAAGTAGCAGGGAACTGTCCAAATGCTTGGATAGGAAGGAAGAGGAGGTCTTCTTCTGTCATTGCTGCCTCTCACCAACTCCCAAATGACACATAAAAAAGAGAGGAGGGGAGAGTTTCTGAGTGGGAAAGTAAGAGAGTTAGAAGTAGAGTCTATCTAGAATTGAAATTATTTTAATTTCTAGGTGAAGTGAGTAAAAAGCAACATAATGGCAGAATACAAAATAACAAACAGCACAAAGAAGGTACATATAAGTACTCCTATTTTCACTTTTCACATAAAAAGAGAACAAAGGGACAGTCAATAAAGCTGAGCAGCAGCACATGTACATGGAGAAGCAAAATGCCGTTGTTCTAATGCACTGTGCATAATCATCCAGGGAGCTCCCTGTTCCAGCATAGCACTAAAATCACAGATGCAGAGAGACTTGCAAGAAAGGGACAGGAATGTACCTGAAAGGAAAGACTATCTGCAGTTAAACTCACTTTTATGTGAGTTACATGAGCAGTGAGCAATAATATGGGTTTTAAGAGAGAAATTCTCATACAAACAGCAATAAATGGGAGGGGGGCAAAGATCCCCAATGGCAGATTACTCCAAAAATTTCTTTCCAAGGGATGTCTTGTTCCTCTTTCCTCTGAAGCTTTTATGTTGACTACTGGCAGCAACAACTGGTGATTGGAGAAGACAAACTACTTCTCATCTCCTGCAGCAGGACCAGAGCACCCTCCCACCTGCCCTGTGTCCATGAGTCACTCTGAGGGGGTTTTATCACCCTTCCTCCCTGCAGCCTCCCCAGTGAGGGAGCTGGGCCAGCGTGCTGCTCCCACCAGCCCCGTTCTCTGCAGTGACCTCACTGAAGGCTCTGCCTTCAGGGGCTGCCAAAGAGCACAACGTGAAAGCCCAAAGCTGGTTCCCCAGGCTGGGGTGCAGCTGCCCTGGGTGGGGGCTGCCTGGGCACAGGCAGCTGCCTGGGTGGGTGCTGAGTCCCAGCCTGCTTGTTCCTTCTAGCCAAGGAACATTTCACATCCTCAGCCATATGTGACTGAGGGAGGTATAAATAATCCTGTCTTCTCTTTTTTTTTTTTTTTTTCCCCCATTGACGTGCAGTGATATCTCCCCTATTCATCGCTGAAAGGAACCAAAATTAATCTCAGTAACAATTCTGCCTGGTGATGGGAATGCATTCGTTGCTGATACACATCAGCACCTTCCTTTGGGAGCTCCATGATCCTTGAGAGTCCCTTCCAATTCAGCATATTCTGTGATTCTGGACAGATCTCAGTGAAGGTCAGCAACGGGGAGATGGGGCGGGAAATCACTTGGGAGACCACCCCAGAATTTAGATAGAGCTGACAACTGCAAAACAGAGTTTGTGGAAACCTTCCTCTTCATGGCCTCCTTCACCTGAGGTAGATCAGGAGCCCAGGTCTTTCTGTGCCCACAAAGTTAAAAACAGACACTTTGCCCTAACCTCCCTCTCTGTGAGGTTTTGTCCTTACACTCAGATGTGGGGTTTGTGTCCTTAGAGCATGAACCCTCCTTCCCCCAGCTGCCATCCACACCCAAAGGATGGCATCCCATTTCCCAACCCCTGCACAGCTCCTCTGCACTGCTCCCTCATGCCATCTTCTCCCTTCCTCCCAGGCACACCTGGCATGCTCTCCCACCAAAATACATCAGTTGCAGGCAGTGCTCGTTGCTTTCCCCATTCTCTGCAACCCCAAATTCCGACTTGCTCCCCCTGCAGGAGATGTGGTAGCAGGGAACTGGCACACAAGAGCAAGGCACCCTCTGCCCATCATCCCCAGCCTCTCTGCCAGCTGATCCCCCTCTGCAAAAACCATCAATACCTCAGTACCATCACTGTCCTTTAATATCCCACAGCCTGGCTCCTATCCTTGGAGAACATGTCAGTCTTTCCGACACGGAGCTGGATATTACGAGGCCTTTTTTTTTGTTGTGTGATTTTGTTTTGGTTTGTTTGTTTGTTTTTTTTAAAGACTTTATTTGTCTAACATGCTTGACCAAAAATTACAACAACATTCAAGTTATGCCAAAATGATTAAATAATCTTTAAGCTTTCATACCTCAAGTACTTTAAATGATATTTTGAAGTAACAGCTGCTTTCATATCCTTTCCACATAAAAATACACAGTATTTGGAAGATACCTTAAGAAAAATTATTTTTAAGAGAATAGTTTATGGTCCACATAGAAATGTTGCTGAGGCCAATAAAAGGACCTCTTCCCCCCACTTTAACATTTTAGTCTCTTAAGTGCCATGAGCGAATGTAAACATTTCAGACTTTAACATACAGCCAATTTCCTGCCACATTTGTTGCAAACTGCTTGAATTGTGACTAGCTAAGACACTTTTATTCTAACTACAGTGCTATTGTTCATCTTCCCAGTGACGGCAGGAGTTCATCTTCAACTATGAATTTCAGTTCTTGCTGATTTAGGAGTTGATCTGCAATTTCTACACCAGTGGCTGTGACAAAAGTGGCCCCCTCTGAATTCATGGCAGGCTGCTCACGCACTTGGGAACCACTCACCCAAAAACCACTTGCAGGCGCCAAAGACTGTTTTGGGTTTCGTTTCCAGGAAAAAACAGCACATCAGTTTAGACACAAGGTCACCCAACAGGTTACAAAGAATGACAGATCACGTTTTCTGGGGGTCTGGTTGGCTTCTTGTGGGTCCAGGTTAGCGCCTGGGCTGGAACATCTCGGCTCCCAGCAGCTGGTGGAAGAGCTGCCGCCCATGGGGAACCAAAAAGCAGTATTTCTGCCCACCTGGCTCAGAGTTGCAGCTGACACAGCCTGGTTTCCCAACACAGGGGTTTCAAATCGTGCATGTGTATCACGTACGTGCGGCTGCCACGTGAAGCTCACAGTGACATCCACGGATTGGGCACAGGGTAACCCGCACGGTTATCCAGTGCCTGTGTGCAGAGGGGGGCCCTGCAGACAGCTCTGAACTGGCAGGGCTGAGCTCTGCCCAATGTGTGGGAACAAGGTGAACCTCTCGATGCCATCAGCCCCAAGCTGAGGATGTCCACCTTCAGAATACAGCAGTTAAATCATCTCCACCGAGGCAAAAGGAGATGTTTGTAAGTCCAAGGCAGAAATCTGCGTCTTACAGGGCGTGTCTGTCTGATCTGAAGCCCTTATTTCTAATCAATTTTTACGCTTCTGGCTTCTGCCTAGGATAGGACTGAAATCCCTGCAGCTCCAACACCTCTGCTGGCCTGCAGGAAAGCTGCATGGGCAGTGCCACTGTGGGCCACCCCACCCTGCTCGTGGCACGTCCCCTGCTTTGCCTGGTGGCACCTACAACACCACGGCTGGATTTCAGTTTGGGCCTCTCTCAGCAGTGTCCATGAGTGGGCAAACAGCAACACCAGGTGAGGTGCCCTCTGCTCTGTTCCCATCCGTGTGCACTCCTTACAGCTCCCCAGAAGTGAATCCCCAAACTCCACCTGGGGCTGGCGCCTTCCCGTAACATCCACGATGTTCCCCAGGGACAAAATGATCACAATGACATTTAACCCCTCCTGACCAGGGCCAGATTCAAACCAGTCACCTCAGCATTGGCTGCACATCCCACTAGCATGTTTTAAACTGACGGTGCCAGTGGGTTTTATTTAAAATACCATCACTGATCATTGGGTGGGCTTTTAATGGTTTTTTTTTTCTTTCTCTTTTTTGTTTCCTTTTTGCTTTTTGTTTTTTGTGTTTTGTTTTTTTTTAATACAGTCATATATCTCTTTACCACATGAAAACACTGTTATATTTTTCCTTCTTTTTTTTTTCCTCCTTTTTTTTTTTTTTTAGGGAAATGTCATCCTTGTTTTTAGAGGTTACAAATTCCTGAGTTTATACTGCACTTAACACAGTCTCCCTTCTCGAATGTTGAGCTGTTTACAGCATGCTGGCAATATGCACCATTTCCCTTACCATCTGTAATGCCAGATGTAGTAAAACTTCATTTCAGTACAGTGAATTAGGGCCTCTATTGCACTGGTTTTGAATAGATGCAAATACTTAGACCTGGAGGATTTGGAGTAATATCATTCCTCCTGTGACTGGTCATTTGTGCAGCATCTTTTATATTTGCCGTGTTAATTAAGGGAAAACATCTTTACCATCATTTTTCTTTTATCAAGAGCTCACTGGGAAACATCTGAAATGAGGGAATCCTAGTCTAAACACTGAAGTTTAAACTGCAAACTTTCTTAAAGAAACACTCCTTTGAAAGACATCGTTCTTTTAATAAGTCCAATACACAGTATATACAAAAGCCCTACTAGATATATATATATGTGTATGTATATATATATATATTTATATGTCGAATGCATTCACTTTTCTGTGTTCACAAATATTTTAATGGTGAAATGTTAAGTCTTTAATCTGTTCCTGGCACCAAAATGTCTTTGTTCCTCATCCACTTTTGTTACTCGAAATTTATCTGGGAAGAGCTAGCAGGGAAAAAAAGAAGGATTTTGCTTTTGTTGTTGTTGTTGTTGTTGTTGAATGGTTCCCTATTGGGATTCTCAGCCAGCAATATAAAGTTGCTATAATGTGTTGGGTACAACTTTAAATCCTCATTATAATCATGTGTTCCTTGGAGTAGGTAAGTCAATAACTATAGGTGGATTTAGTGGCTGGTAATTCACAGTGCACACAGATGCATTCACATAGGTAGTGGTTCCATCAGCCATGACACCATAACCTACAAAGGAAGAAAAACTCTGGTTACTCTCATGATTCACCATTATCTTCTTTATTTTTCAACTCTTCACCTTTCCCACACAATGGTAAGGGCCACATTTATCACTCAGAAGGAATTTAAAAATTCTCTTGGTCCCCTGAAAAAAACCCATCTTTGTCCTACTGAACTTTTTGCCATCTTTTTAATTGTGCAAGAAAAACAAAAAAAACAGCCCCTCACTGGCTAGGGGCAATAATCTCTGGCAGCCAGCTCACCAAACCTCCTTAGAAAGACAGATACTTTTCTCTGCAAAGCTTTCTTTCTTAAAACCATTTCAGTTTTGGGAAGGATGAGAAGGTAGGTCTAAGACATTGGAAAAAAAATCTACCAAAAATCAAACTTCCAGCCCTAATGCCTCTAAAAATACTGTGAAATGCTGTTTCAGAAAGGGAAGAAGAAGCCCTTTAACAGTCCTGGTGTTTTGAGAAAGAAAAAGCTCTCCATTGTGAAAAATCTTTTAATGAATGACCAGGAAAAAAACATAAGCTTGATTGCACTAAAGCTAAAAGATGGATGTTGGAAACTTTCATTGAAATATTTTGATCAACGTGAAGAATTCACAATCAAAAATACAGGATCTGTGAGGAATCACTTGGTAGGAAGTGTTTTTGCATTGAATATTCAGCCTCATCATTAGTGAAGTTAATAGGAAAATGTATTTGTTGTTACATGCACTGAGTTCCAGCCATTCAGATCCTAAGTACCTGGGACCCTGTGGTTTTTCTGAGTGCAGTTTTGTGTCTTACAGAAGCACTGGCAGTTGCATCATTTGCAAACAAAGAAACAGTAGCCAAATTCCTTTTTTTTTTTTTTTTTTGTACCTTGAAATACCCTGAATAATGCAGGGCCTCCTGGACTCCCCATGTAAAAACCACACTATAATTAGGGACTAGGGAGGGAAGAAAACTCTGCTGGGACTTTGTGTCTTCTTGGCCACATATCTGGAGATTTGCTGGAAGATTCCTGATGCTATGGATTGTCACTCCTGTCCTACTGCCAGCAGAGTTTCCTTGGCCACAACCTTAGCTAAGGATTGGCTGTGATGGGAAAACCAGGATTTTAGTCCCTGCCACGCTGCTTGTCACTTCCATCACTTCCATCAGCAGGAAACCCATGTGCAGAGGTATTTTTTGGCAGACACAGCAAGTGCAGGGAGGGGGGAATAGGGAAGAAACATCTCTTCTAAGCGTCCCTTCCCCCCAGATGTTCAGTAAATGACTGCTGCAGATGTAGCTTTGCTCACTCAGAGGAAGAACTCATCTGTTCAAATCATGAATTGTCTCTACAAAGTGCAGCTTCGTTTGCACAGGCTGCCTGCAAAGGGAATTCTCCTCTGCAGAGATTCAGCATCCCACTGCAAAACAGGCTATGCAGTTCCCCACTTGTTTCCTCTAAATGATGATAGTTAACAAGAAGAGTACCTTGTTTCTGTGCTTCCATACCTACTGTGCCAACTGCATTAATTCACGAGTTTTAGCATTCCAGGGAGGTGCCACTCTCTTCCCTTGAGAGCCAAAGTTGGGCTTGGTTCTAGCAGATGTGATTTTGTTTACCTGCCCGAAGCTTCAAGGCTTGCTGTTTGCTTGGATCCCCTGCAACCCACTTGGCTTACAACTCCTGAAGGAGTGATGAGTCTGAACTGTGTTCACCAGCCCATTTGATTGGAATATCAGAGGTGCTCTAACAGCATTATTTGTTTACTCTGTGATTTAGCAGCACTTGGGACATTACCCAGGCATTAAGAGGTCACCACAGAGGAGGCACATGAGGAGAATGGATTTAATCCCTGAGCTGTAACACAATGATCTGAACATCTCCTCCATCAGTTTTAATCCAGCACAGCTCTCAGCAATGACCATTCTAATGTAGGGTGAAAGCCCCCAGCAGCAAACCAGGCTAGGATTTTTTGGGAAGAGCCATGTTTCTTCTCAAAACCAGGATGCCAGCTACTCCAGTTTTTCCATTTCTGCCCTGGTGAGACCCACAGAGATCCGACATCCAAGGCTGGAGCAGGCCCAGAAGCAGAAATCTGGCAATAGTGGAGTACCTTTTCCTGCCAGTAAGTTAGTACTGCCAAGGACTAAGCAGCTGATAATAAACACTCACATGCCAGTGGGTCACCTTTTGCACAGCCCAGTGATTTCTTCTTCTGGGGCACTGCTTGAAATCCTTAATATGTGACCAGGGCAGACACCATCTACCTCTCCCTTTGCCTGGAGGTGCACTCCTGCTGTCACCAACTTCAGCAGAGCATTTTTGTCACCATTTGTTGACTTAAGTGACGGGAACTCATTTTTTTTTCCCAGCTAAATATCAAATAATCAAGAGAACCACTGTTTCGTCTGGGCACAAAATGTTTCCCCTGCCCAAGCATCTGAATGCATTAATAAATATCTTGGAACTTCTACATAAGGCAGTGGTGACATCCCTCTTGATTTCAACTTCATATATGCACTTTATTGCACAAGCTTGAAGCTTAAGCCTTAGAAGCACCTCCCAGAGCATTCCTACCCATTTTAAAAACACAGAAACCGAAACACAGAGAGCTTGCATGAATTACATTAAATCACAGATTCAACTGAGGAAAATACAATCCATCAGTCCTAATATTTAGTAACTACTGGGCTTGTGTTCTTATTTTAAAATTCACAGTAATCCTCCCTGTGAAGAAAGCATCACCCTCTTTCATAGATGTAGAAACTGAAAGGGAAGCTGAAGTACAAATGTTGAAATGTATCAGCCAATTTCATCTCTATATATGCAGCTAAATATGTATCTGAATTCTAGAAGTTCAGACATTCGAGTTTGAAAATGCTCCTTAAACCTTCTGTGTTGGTGGTTTCTAAACACATATGGAAAGAAATGTGTTCTGACCTTCATGGATATGTCCAAACACGTGAAGCCTTGGCTGTATTCGTCTCTGGACTGTGTTCAGCAGCTCGACACATCCTACCCGTTGCATTTTCTTGGGAACCCAGTCTAGAAAACCTTTGGAAAAGAAAGGAAAGCTTTAAAAGAAGGCAGGTAATCTGCAGCATTTCTGAGATTTCATGGCTTTTCACAAGCAGCCTCAGAAGAACTGACATGATAAAAGCTGTGTTGATAATTAGAAGAGGAAGGAAGGAAAAATACTCAAGGAAAACCATAAAAGCTCGTCTGGATAAAATGAACTATGATAATCCTTACCAGTTGTTTTTCGAGGAATAAAAAAAAAAAAAGAAAAAAAATGATCACTGCAATTTTTGCACTGCTGTAAATGGGAAAACTCAATGTTTCAACCATTTTTCTTCCTTGAAGAGGGTGAGGTGTAAAGGGCAGCAAGTCCAAAGTGAGTCTCCAGGCAACTTAAATGAACATTTAGCTGTTTAAATCTAATCCTGGGATCCACTTCTTTAAATGGAACACCTTGACTGGTGCAATGGAATCTGTGTTAATAAAAACTATATCACACTGAATCCTAGAGTAGTGGAACTCAGGTGAGGAACCTTCTGCGTGCCCAAAAATTAACATCCTCAGGCAAAACTGGTTTAACCAATTCATGGCACAGCAAGTCCCACTCACCTAAACTTATGGACAGGAATGAAAACTCAGGCCTTTTGCAGTAGATTTTATTTAAGTGCTATATTTACTTGCACAAAGATTGTGTGAAAATGTGTATTTCATATGAATACAGACAGAAATATTGCACCAACTTGCCTCTTTATCTAAAAATACTGCAGGGGGATGTTTACTGCCAACTGAAGTCTCATGTTTTCCTTCAAAGTAGTAGTAGAAGAAGGATCTTGTTGCATCAGAGGGTTTGCAATAACCAATCTGATTTCTTTCTATTGTTCTGCCACTGTCACCAGGCTCAAATTTGGAAACCTGAAAAGATAAAATCTTCCTGGTTTTATTGTGTTGTTCTGGCCATTTTCCCCGTGTGCCTGTTTTAGCTTTGTGTCTCCTGGATTGCTGCAGTCCTGTGAATAGATTGTGCCTTTAGCACAGAGTTAGAGAGCCTGGACCTGGTTTTCATGGGTTTCCTTTTGATGTCCACTCAAGCATGGCTAAGCAGCAACCAACTGGTTTAAAAGCCCAGAACTGTGGTATTCAAGCTCCTGGAAAAGCTCTCAGATTTGCTAGAGCTTCAGGGTAGGTTCACACATTGAGAAATGTCTCTTTATAGCTGCCAGTGCTTGAAAACTGGGCTCAAAGTACACTGTGGGGTTTTATGAAAATGGCCAGGGTTTTTGCCCTTGTGTCATGGTTAGAGAGCTAGGTCCAGTTTTCAGAAAGAAGGTGGGAATGCAGCATCCTAATGCAAAAAGAGGAAGTTCTGATTATGATCAAAAACTTTTTAATTCATTCAGATTTGTACCTTCCTCTGCTTGGCACCTGTGAGGGGGTTGGGCAAAGAGAAAGTCCCTCTGAATCACAGGCAGAGCAGAGCAATGTTCTGCTGAGCTCACCAGCAGGTCAAAATTTACTGCAGGAAACAAGAAGTATTTAAGATGTTAAAGTGCAGGCATGCCTTTTTTTTTGGTTTGTTTTTTTTTTCCCCAAGAATAAACATCTTATAACCATAGGTTTTGTTACTTCAGTGATTTGAAACAGTTAATTGTCAAAACGTCTGTGGAGAACAGGAAGCCAAAAGCGTTTCCACTTCAAAAACTTCACAAACAAAAATCCATAAAATTAACTTCTCCATTAAATTAAGCATTATTTATGTTGAACATGTTTTTGTTTACATGCATTATCACCCTTCTGAAGCCTTCCCATATGTTTGCAGCTTATTATGTACACCTGACTACACAAACTAAGAATAATTGATTACACCTAGCTAACAATTAGAGTTCATCTTAGGGTTTTTTTTAATGTTTGGTTACTTGAAACAGGTTTCTGCAGCTGTCAGGAAAGTATAAATCTTTGTCACAGACAATCAAGCAGACAGCTGCAAATGAAGACTTAAAGGTGAAATTAAATTAAAAACAAAGAAAAGGAAAGTGAACTTTTGGAAGAGAAATAAAAGCATCATAAATGCAGAGCTTTAGGAATCGGGGAAAATACTTTGAAAGTTATACCATACATAAAAGTGACAACAAGATGCTGATATGGAAATGAGCATTAGCACTGAACCCATCATCATAAACACTGTATTTCATAAGCTGTGAAATAGATGGCATCTCTTTATTAATAACTAACAGGTTACTAATGAAATGGTCAATAATAGCTGTTTTAACCTTTGTTTTCTTTTCCTGTGGGTTTCATCCCAAAGCGCTACTCTAAAACAGAAGAAAAAAATTACTCAAGTTTTTGTCACTAACTGAGAAACAAAGTCCATAAACTCTTACTGCTGCTTCTGCATCTGAATCACACCATTTCAAATCTATGGAGTAATGAATTAATTTGTTTAGGAGGATGCACACTCTTGAAGTGAGGGAATGAGAAAGCAGCACAGAAAATGGATGATGAATCTACTTTTTTAGGCAGCTCTGCTGGAGAAAAAAAACCCTAAAATTTACAAGAAGACTGATTGCTATTTATGATCATTGGGAACAGCTCTAGTGGTGCTGCCCAAGATCAGAGCAACAATAATCAGCATTCTGATTAAAATAATTGGCTGGGAGGGTCAAGGAGGATCCTGTCTCCCAAAATGTCTGTGGACAGAGCTGAGTAGAGCTACACAATGAGGAGGTTCCCTACATTAGGTAGAGTCCTAATTTCTTTTAAGTGTCATATATTTGTTGCCCTGGGTGTCAGGGAGAGCAACACCTGATGGGTTCTGTGCCTGAGCCACCTATTAATGCATCAGTAAGAGAGAGACAAAGAAACAGGAACTATACAAAAAAAAAAAAAAAAAAAAAAAAATTCCTGGAGGATGGTTGAAGATTAAAAATTAAAAAAAAAAAAAAAAAAAGGAACAAATACTGAGACATGGAGACGGGGGGAAATTCACATTATTCCATTGCAATCAGTGAAGATGGGCGGCTCTTCCTCAGAATTACTATAATTATTAAATTACTTTTCAATTATTAAATGTATGATTGAAGTATGTCTGTTGAGTGAGGGAAGATAATCTGTGTAGAGGTTCTCCTTCCTCTGCAGATCCCAGAGGCTACTGGAGAGGCCTGGTGGCTGAATTATCAAGGTGGCTGAAGCTGGGTGATGTGAACCCCTCTCTCCACTTTCCAGCACTGGATTGCAGGTGAACCTTTGGGTCAGCTGAAGGCTGGATATTTTTTTACAGCTGGTTTTAAAAACAATTTTGAAAGTGCTGGAAAAGCTTCTGACAAACTTTGGAGCTGACACCTCAGGGTCCAAACAGTTGATTTCTGACATCCATGATAGAGGCTCATATTAAAATTAGTCCATGGCATGAGACTCCACTTAGGGTGAAGTATCAAAACACAACCCCTGCTGTGAGAAACTATACTCACAAAGAGGTGCTTTCCCCCAGGATTAGTGAACAGGGGAATGCAAACATGTTTTCTAAAGAAAAAAAAACACAAACCCTTAAGATACTTTCTCCTCCAAGCTCTGAAAGGGAAGAAAGGGTGGAAGACAAGAGGGTTTTAGGGTCAGGAAACTGGGGAGACTAAAGCTGCCTTCATTTCACACAAAGCACTCAACAGAAGACTTCAGTACATGCTCCATGTCCATTTATTAAATTAGTGAGAGTTAAAAACACAGTCACATTAAATATAGATTGCTATAAGTTAAATTCACCAAAAAACAGACTTAAGCCTTTTCTGGACAAGTTCATGTGATTATATCATCTCTGTAACAAAGGCAATTTCACCATTTTCTAGGAATATAAAAAATCTCTTGTGGCTTTTGTATCATCTCTATTGATATTTGGAAAATACACATGCAAAACTATTTCTTTTTGATCTGCTCCTGTTGCCAGACTGTACTACAGATAAGCAACTCACCCATGCTGTCCAAAGAACAGGCAAACTATGGCAGCATTTGGGTTTGTGAGGCAGAAGGTGCACCAAGTCAGCATGGGCAGGAAAAATAGAGATTCTGGGTACTTGTTGAAGTGACAAAAAAATAAGATCCTAATCCTGCATTTTTCTTCAAGCAGGCTCCATGCTTTCAATCTAGTAATTTCACCACTGGCAGATTAGACAAATGCACAGGTAAACGAGCCCCTGCTTATTTATAAAGCTCGTTAAGGCTTTATGTGCTGAGGTTTTATTTTTTAAGCCGTTATTTAATTCCCTACCCCTGGGCACAGGTATCATAGGCAATCATGAGCTGAAGTCCTGGTGCTGCTGAAATCAGTATGCATGTGTACTTTTGACTTTTTTCCAGTCAGGATTGCACCCTGTTTCTGAAGAGAGCCAACAGTTTCTGCACAATCATCCGAAATACAGAGCTAAGAGCACTGGTATTTCCTTACCGAGAGGTGGTCCGTGTGTTATAAGAATATCTATTCCGTCTGGAATAAGGTTCCATTTCTCTAATAGTGCTTGGCCTCGTGGAAGATTAAAGCCCCAGCCATAAAACCAAGGTTGCCTGCCAAGAGAGGAGGAGAATGTCTTCAGTGCTACTTCCATGTACTGGTTATCTAATTAAAACACTGAGATTGACTCTCCACTAGCATGGAATTTGAAGACACAAGCGGCATTCATTTTCTCCTTTGTGTGCACAGTAAACCCCTCTCTCCATACAACCAGCATTATTTAACTTGGATGGCAAATCAGTGCAGTCCTTACCACTTCCAGCAGACAGTAAAACATTCACAGCATTCCTCTGACCTGGATACCAAGATGTCCCCATGTGGATCGTCCTGCTCGACTCCCACAACATTTGGAGCACCTGTCTCAAGACACCTACATGTGGGTATGTCTCACATTGGCTCCCACAGCATTTGGCCCTTATCCTATGACCAGCTGGGCAAGGACAGCCCCTGGCACAGTGACAGATCCCGCTCCAAAGTCAGAGACATCCTCTCTGCTGCTTTGTTTCCCTAATTGGATGCATCCCATCAGAACAAGAATGCTGCTGCTTCTCTCACACATAAATTTCTTCTGTCCTCTGGTGTGTTGACTTGCTTTTAAGTAAGACTTTCCATATTCAGGATTTCTTATCAGACAGGCATTTACATTTTTTTAAACCATATTTATGGAGCAGCTGATCGTGGAGCAGCAGGACTGTAACACTGCCAGTCAGAACACAATTTATCCACATCTTGCTATCCCATTGATTAAAAAACCTGTATTTCACAGCAATTATATCACAATGTTAAATTATGTCTTGCTGACTAGGCTCCAATTCTAGGTCATAAAATTGAGGGGTTAGTTTTAGGTGGGAGATTTTATAATCTTCTGACAGACATCTTTTGGCCACACCAATATTTGAAGAACAATGAATAGGCTGCTTTTCTTCCACAGACAAAAAGAGCCTCAACTCTTGACGACTGAAAGGTTTTCTGTGTCCACATCTCATCTAGCTCTTCATCACTTGCCCTGCATCACCAGGGTCTGGAGGAACAGGTGTCCAAAGAAGAAGAAACAAAAAAAAAGTGAAACCTTGTACATCTGCCACTGGGACCAGAAATATATCCCAGCCTCCAGAAGCTGTGAGGAGGGAGGTGAAGAAGGTGTGTGAATAAGAGATGTTAACAGCACTAGCAATGAAGCAGAAATCTTGTTCTGAGTCATGTTGCTCAGACCATGGCATCTAGCTAAGATAAAGACATATCAGGGCTACAAAATCACACTTTTCTGGTTACCTGTTCAACTCCTGGCAGCCTTTCCTCAGAGGAGGAACAGCACCTGGCTCACAGGCATGTGACTTCTCACCTTCCTGCTGCTGGGTGGTAACAGATTGTCTGGACAGGAGGCTCAGGGGAGACCTTATCCCTCTAAAATTCCCTGAGAGGTTGTAACCTGGTGGGTATCAGTCTCTTCTCCCAGGTAACAATCAGATGGGACAAGAGGAAATGGCCTCAAGTTGTGCCAGGGGAGGTTTAGATTGGATATTAGGGAAAAATTCTTCACCGATAGGTCAAGCTCTGGAACTGAGGCACCATCCCTGGAGTTAGTTAAAAGCTGTGTAGATGTGGCACTTGGGGACATGGTTTAGCAGTGTTAGGTTTATGGCTCAGTGCTCTTAAAGGTCTTTTCCAACCTAAACAATGCTGGGATTCTAGTACCTGGCTCGCTCTGCAGTGACACTGTCACACAGAGCCAAACCCCAGCCTGTGGAGCTTGATCAGCCCCTCGTACATTCAGCTCTCCACTGACAGAATGGGAGTATTTTTATCACACAGGAATGCCCTAAGAATAAATAAACTGAAGTTTGTGGGGTGCTTGGGTATTACAGAAGTGGGAGGCTTTATAAAAATACACAGTAGTCAGGCTTTTTCTAAACTCCCCATCCTTTCCTGCCTCGGGATTGCACTCCACACCTTACACGCCCAGTATCTTTCTTCACCCAGATGAAAACACTCAACTGTTTGGCAAATAGTCTATAGGCCCAGAGCACATTTTCCAGGAGCAAAATCTCACTGACAGAAAATATTTGCAAGGGCAAACAGGAGGCAAAAGGAGTGTCAGCACAGTACATCATGTTTTTAAAGCCACTGACAGTGGATATACTGCCCTTCTCCCACCCATCACTTGCCCTGGTGCTGCTGCACATGGGTAGATTTATTAGATTAGGAGAGATTAGACAGATTAGGTAGATTAGAGAAGGGTGCTAATAATGCCAAGGCTGTGGGTTCAATCCCTGTGTGGCTCAGTCACTTAAGAGTTGGACTTGATGATCCTTGTGGGTCCCTTCCAACTCAGAATATTTTGTGATTCTGTGACGGGATCGCCCCCCCAGCAGAACTAACCCCGAGAAACAAACCGAGGGGAAAGATGGACTTTTCCCAAGAAGAAAAGGTCAAACACCAACCCCCTTCTGAAGAATTATTTGAAGAACACAACGAAGCATTTACAAAGAGAAATAACCACGACTGTCACTCAGGTCTGCCCACCAGTCAGCTCAGCTCCGCTGAAATCCGGGTGACCACAAACGGCAGCCGCAGCTGGGGGAGGCTCTGCTTCCTCTACCAGGGCCACACTACAGGGCCACTCTGTGAAAAGCCCATTTCCCCTTATGAATAGGCATGATCTGCTTATTAAGACAAGCAGCACTTTCCCCCGTGCCTCCCTCCCTCGCTCCCTTTGTGGTGCCTGCAGCCAAACGCGGGGCTGGTAAGTTATTCATGCTGGAGCTGTTCTTTTGTGAGGGGGAGATGTTACAACTTGTGTGATTTGCCATTATGCTGTCTTTTGTGACAATCACGAGATGGAAAGAAGTGTCTGGAATATTTCTGGCAAAAAAACACACCCAAAGTCCAAGAAAGGATTCAGTGGAGGATGCTGGCATGCTTCACAGCTGAGAGAAGAAAGACAAATCACACACTTCAGTGCCCCCAAAGCAAAACCATCTTTATAAGCACGCAGGGATTTTATAAATCCCCAAGTCCCTTCTTCTGAAAATTTACTGCAAAACAGCCATCAAAGTTTCTGAGTAGGGGAAAAAAAAAAAACCAATCTTCTCAAATACCCACTAACAAGTCTGTGACCTGGATATCATGCAAAGACAACTTGGTCTAGAATTTCCATTTCTGATGGAACCTGAAAGCAAAGTTAAATTCTTCATGTCAAGCACTGAGTTTCTGTATTCTCGCTTAGTGCTTACTCAGGAACAGTAAAATATTTTCATAATTTATGTTTCAATAATAACATTTTACATTTAACATAGAAAATATTGTTGTGTATGTTCTATAACAGAAAAATCCACTATTCTCCAAAAAAAAACTGAAACAAACCACCAAGAAAAATTTATTTGGCAGTTTAAGACATACATCATTAGTGTCTCTCACCTCTGAATTGAAGCACTCCTGTAGAAATGTACTTTGATTTAGGTCTTACCTTCTTGAAGCAAACAGTTCGAGTGTCTCCACACACTACTGAGATTCAATTGTATTATTATTTTTATAAGAATAATGCTTGTCTACATATAAGACTCCAGGGGGAAATACATCAGATGTGAATTTGTTTACAGCACAATTAACCTTATGTTAAAAACATATGAACAAGTTTTGCAGGTCAAATAATCTACCACACAAAAAGGGCTGAATTATCCTAGTTTGTGGGAGCAATCGGATGTTGCTTTATGTACTGAATTTCTATCTTTCTGTTCTAAAGTAACCATTGGAATAATTTTCTTACAGAATGATAGTTGCTATGACAACCATAGCAAATTTTCCTTTTCTGAAACAGATGTCTCATTTAGTTGAAAATTAGAATGTGAAAAACCCATGGGAAAAATTAATTCAAACTTTAACAGAACACTGACTACAATGTAATCTCTTATAGGTTAACCCCTTAACATCTCTCTGCACTCTTCTAGTAACCTTCTCATAAATTCTAATTAAACCAGTTTAACCTCCTAGAAATGACCTTCTTAGCTATCATTAGCACTTTAGTTGTCTTTGAAAGGATCGTTTCTGTTACAATAGTAACAGAAAAAAGTCACACTAAAAAAATAATGGTCAAACATATTACCACTTTAATTACTTATTAGGTTCTTTTTTTTCTTTTATTCAGCTACTACTGGAAAGAGCCAACATGTAGTCCAAGAATTCTTTTGTCATTTAAATGGGGCACAACTTGGTTTTACACGTGATCTACTGTAAAGGGTGATGCACTACACAGATTTCACCTGTCATTTACCTGAACACTGAAGGATTTCCATTTTCAAACCACCTCAATGTGCTCAGCAGACATACAATGAGAAAAAAAAAAAAAAAAGGATACTTGATGGGGAGAACAATCAGTGTACATGGATTTTTCTATTACAGGCAATGAGAGACTGAAATTTGATTCTCTATTACCTCGATTAGTAGCAAAAAACGCAGGACTAAACCACAACGTGCAGATCACTGTACATCCTAATTTCTACAGTTTCCTACATGTTGGTTGGTTTGCTGGGGTTTTTTTTTGCAGCTGAAAGGCAAATTGTCTCTCTAGAATTCCTTTGCTTACCAAATAAACCTCAAAGGTTCCCAAACACGTGTAACTTTCCTCCACAACAGTTGACGTTTTTTCTCCTTTCAGAAAATAAACAGATATTGGTCGGCGACTGTAAAGGAGCTCAGTGGGAAAAGAACAGACTGAATCACCTTCCTCAGTCTCGCTGCCCTTCCTGATAACAGCAGAGCTGCACATATTTGATATTTAGAAGCCTGGACTATGCATGTTGAAAGCCATACTGGCAGGAGGGACTGGTCAAGGGCCATGGAGCACAAAAAGCAGTTAAGATTCAGCAGCACAACCCCAAGTAAAACTCACCCCTGATTCTCAGCCCAAGAAAAGTCAGTGTTGGATGTTTAAATCTGATTATTCCTTGATATATATATATATATAATCTTACTATTCTAACTAGCTACACTCCTGTGAGCATGGGTATACAGCACTGTATACAATATATACCTTCCTTATTTGCCTGCTGTTCAC